ACCTTAGGCCTCAATTGTTCTTCTTTTTCCAATTTTGATAATTGTGACATTAGACTTTTCATTTGGGATTGTTCTTTCTTCTTTAAATATGCCTGGATTGCTATATACTTTCCTCTTAAGATTGCTTTTGCTGCGTCCCACAGAGGTTGGGGCTTTGTTCAACTATGTCATTTTGAATATGGAAGTTTTGATTATTCATCCCCCTGCAGTGTGGCTCCTGCCTTGCAGCTCCCCACCCACCACCAATATGGGTGTGAAATAATATTACGTGTGTAGCTTGTGATTTGTACCTTATTATGCAGTTCTCTGACTTGAGCCCCACTGCAAAGGGGTTACAGATACTGGAAGCAACATCATTAGGCTATGTACCAAGCATTCAGCTAAGTGATGCTCTCACATCCACCCTGTGAAGCATCATCTCCATTACACTGTCAAGGAAACAGAGTCACTGAAGAGAAATGGCTTTCTACATTGTGCTCCCTCTGCAAGTCTTAAAGTCCTATTTTACAGATGAGAAAATGGAGGCAAATGATCAGCTTCAGGTTGCACAGCCAGCAAGTAGCACAGCCAGGGCTCAAGCCTCATAGATCTTGTGGCTTCCATCCCACATTCTTTCTTCTTGTCAGCAAGTGGGTGCTATACCTAGTTGCCACTGCATCTCAAAATTGGGAGGTTACCAAGGACAGCCTGCAAAGTCCAGTGGCAAGCACAGAGGATCCCATCTAGGTTTTCAACTGCATGTCCAATAGAACAGTAAAATCACATTCTTCTGTACCTTCAGTTTGACAGGGACACCTCCCAATCCTTACATTCTGCACATTACAGGAACTCACTGGCCAGAAGTTATAAATTCAGGTAACATATTTTTGCTCTGATAAGTTTTTGGAGGAAGAAATGCACAAGTGTCCAAACTTGTGCTAAGATGCTCAAAAAGTCCCACAAAAGAGACCCTACAAGAAATTACAATGATGCCCATTTATGAAAGCCCACAAGAAAAAGGGGACTTCTGGAACAACATATGCCCATGACAGCTTGTAGAGTATTTTTTTAAAATAGAGCTTTATTGGGAATTTCAATCAGTTCATGATGTAAGGTCTCATTCTATAGCACTTTGTTGCCCATTCACTTTGGCCTAAACACCCCAGGCATGTCTGTCTCTTCGCAGTGACCAGTGCCAAATAGGTGAGTCCCACTGAGCTGCCCACACGTTGATCAAAGCAGCATCAGAGTATCTGGAAAGAGAGTTGGTCTCACCAAGCTGGCTTCATTTTGCCATATCTAACTCCTACTTCCAGTGTACCGTGAATGCCATGCTCACTCTTTGATTTTTCTTTTCGGCATCTTGCTTGAAAGGAGTGGGAATTATTAGCCAAAGGGTTCATTGTGCTCCCAGGAATGAGCTTCATATGTGCTGTTATTCTAGCCAGTGTCAATCTTGCACGATATGCCGAATCTACTAATGACTGCAAGTTAGGGGCAGTGTCTCGAAGTGTCATTCAGGGACGACTTGCATCAGGATCACCCAGGATGCTTAAAAATGCAGAATTCTTTCTGGTCCCTCCCC